ACTGCTTGGTCATCAACTTCAGGTTCTGGTTAGGCAATGTTGATAACTCCCCAAGCCACCTAGAGAGCGTCAAGACTATTCAGAGTCAGTAAGCCATGTTACATTAAAGAATTATGCCAACTTCAACTTTATCTTGAGAAAAATATCTGTTAGAGGTTGGGAGCAAACTCAAGACCTTTCAATCGTGAATCGGGTGTACTACCAATGCGCCAATTCCACGCCTATATATAGTTTCATTTATTACATTCCAATAAAATGAGTCTGTTGATAGAATGTGAAATTATTAGCCAATAAATGAAATGACACCAGAATTTATATCAGTAATGTATACTTATAACAAGCATATACTAGGTATATACACAATGTGTTACTCAAATTATGTCATTGTAGCCCAGTTCTACAGATATAATTTTCTACTAGGATTTAGAACATTTTGTTGAAAATATATCTCTTAATGCACCCATTTTGGTTCTTTCTTCTCAAACCTTAATTAAAATGAATGTGTTACCTGAAATAAGTTGTTTCAAATCCAGAGTCATATCTTCGCCTTGCATAGCATTAGACCCATTCTGGCATTGGCAGTTGAAACAGAATTTCGAATTATAAGGGCTGAAGAAATCAGTTGAACTAAGCAAATCTTCTCCACACACCTCACAATGCGAGGCTTCTTTTACTTCTGAATATCTTTCACATTTCAAATCATGATCAACATCAAAAACATCTTCACTTTTGACTTGATTTGGCTCTGATCCATACTTTGAGATAATCATTTCGAGTGCATTACATTCCTCCTTCTCCTCTTTAATTAGTATGCCACAATTATCAGTAGTCATTATCTAGTTCAATTTCCAATAAAGATGTGGGACGATGAGACAATGTGGATATGATTGTGGGTCACTTTTCTTTGAAGAATGAACTATATACGTGTGCTTAAATGGTAAAAGCAAACCTAGTACAATAGGTTTGTTCTGGTTCTGCGAAATTCAGGTTCTTGAACGTTGAGGGTAATTTCGGATTGACAAATGAAAATTACCCTAAACTGTCTTGAACCGACCCGAATTCAGTATTGACAACTGGATAAACTATAAAGTCGCTACACATGAACCAAAATTCAGCTACACTTGTATAGCTGACGCAATCAGTTCGCGCATGCGCCCTATCCAAAATGGAATACCACACACGACTACCGTTCAGATACCACCAAACTGATCTGCCACTAATGTCAGGAATCAGGATCATGCTAATTTTCAACTGCGCAACTCAATACATGTTACCTAATTATCGGGACAAGTCTAATGCATCCTTTCAAGTTGGAATCAGACAACCAATGTTGACGAAAAGTTTGTTTTCGAGACTTTCAGTATTTTTTTTCAACATGTCCCGTTCCCGCCAATTTCAACTGCGGTGGCTCTTTCGCTCGAGCTACAATCAGATGAACTATCTTCCATTTCCACTGTAATTTGTTCCATATAATTTACAATACTCCAGACAGTCGAGACTTTTAGTTTCAAGATATTGGGGGTTATATGGTTTATGATATGAATGAGAATGAAAATATCCAAAAATATTCTTCTTCTCTTTCATCATGTAATGTCCACAGCTACTGAGATTAAAACGTATTGACTGTGCATTCAATTATTCAAGTGTCAGCTGTCAGCTTCGAGTGCTGTCCTCTGCCTATTCTTCTACCAATTTTTTTCCATATTGATTATTTGTAGAAAATTCCGCTACATTATGTTCAAATCCACTACGCCGCTACCGTCGAGTAAACTCCGCTATAGTAGCGGAATTCCGCTACTGTTGGCAACCCTGCCCGAATTGTTCTTGCTCTCGAAGCTGAACTGTTCCCGTTGCTAATGCGCATTCATGTGAAAATTTGTTTGGGCTATTTTCTAGGATGTTTTTTATTTACCTGATTTAAATAATTGATGATTGAGGTTAGATAACATATGAACTGACTACAAGGATACGCTACATAACAAAATAGACATGATCATTAGTATTTTCCAGTACTTGTGATTCACTGTTTGGTACCTTTTGTGTAGTAATGAATATTACTGGAGTTGGGAAAAACTCCAGTAATTTTCAGTATTTTCTCGTTTTTATCTCTTCATATATACAATAGGTGGCACAGTGGTCTCCTCAAAAGTGCCCGAGACTATTACAGATTTTTTACTTGTACAGTTTCCAAACAGTTTCGAATGTTGGAACCAGAACAAACCTGTTTTATACGCCTCTCACACCGAGGTTTTTACTGGTATAAACTGGTACAGAAAGGTTCTCTCCCTCTCTAAATTTATTGGAGGTTGGCAGGAGCTTCGTCGGGGGGTGCAGCGGTCTTGCTCGAAGCAATGCTGCCACCCCTTTTTTGTCGAACTTTTTTATGATAAAAACAAAATAGCTTTTTTATTGTCGTCTTTTGCTCAGGAGACCTTTTCCACATATATATTTATTAGGTCGCCTCTTCGTCGGGATTCCTTCGGGTTTTTAAATTCATGGCCCCCTTTACGTAGTTACCCGAACCACCCAGGCCGAATACCGGATTGATAACTTTACACTTAACAATTACAACATATATAGAAGTCCCGCGATGATAATAATAATAAATTGATGGACGTAGCCGTTACTACGTGGTAGGAAATCATAATGAGGAAAAGAGAAATGAAACTTTCTATCTTTTTTACCACTTTTATTTGCAACTAACGTTACTGCGGTTTCGTCCTATACAGACATTTTAAAACTTATACAATAAACTAACAATGATTCATTACATTAGCCATTATTATATTGTCGCCTGGGGACATGTAACAGATTGTGATAGAATATTCCGATACCAAAGGAAAGCAATTAGAATATTAGACAATATTGGCTACAGAGATGAATGACGAAATTCATTCATTACATTAAAAATACTAACCTTTCCTTCTCTATATATCATGGAAAATTTAACATATATAAAAAATAATCTATCTCAGTATGAAAATTTTGAAAATGTGCACGACTACAACACTAGGCATAAAAATGATTTGAGTACAAACTACTGCCTCTCAAAAACATGTCAAAATGGGTCAAATTTTTGGGCTGTGAAATTTTACAATAAATAAGATTTCTACCTGTTTAACATATTCAAAATCAGGATAAAATCTTTATTAATGAAAAACGCCTTCTTCAGCACCGAAGAATTCCTGCACTGTGATATAAGGTCCTTAACCATATACAAATAGACATTTGTCGTCGTTTTAAAAATATCCTTTGTTTTTAAATGTGTTCCTCGACATAACTCAGATGTACTTATAAGATATAAATATTTTTTATAAAAAAAAACTTCTATGAATTGTAAGCATCTATTGTTTATGTAAATATTAATAGATGCCTGACATATACTAATTTTATTAATATGTATGTATTGACTTGTGTAAATACTGATAAATGTATAAAACACCAATAAATTATATATCTATCTATCATTATATACCACCCTTGTACGATGTTACATATTTTAATATCTCATAAATGTATATACCTACTTGTAACAGTCAATATTCTGAGATTTTGGAAGATGAGTTTACAACTTGTCCTTCTAGTAACTCTTGCTTTATACCTTATGGTTCTTTTTTGAATTTTGAGTATTCTTGACAATCACTAGATGCTCCCCAAGCAATAATACCATAGGAAATGTTACAATGAAAGTATTCATGGTAGTACATTAACGAGAGTGATCTACTTACATTCCAGCATAGTTGTTGAATACAATAAGATATTGAGGATATGTTTTTACAAATCGTATCAATTTGCTTGTTCCATTTGAGATTTTCTGTTATCTTCAAACCCAGAAATGTTGTCTCCTCTTGTTGTTGAATTGATGCATTAATTGTCGTTACTAGTAAACTGTGATCTTGATTAACTGTGTGTGATTAACTAGTAAACTGTGGTTCTTGAATGATTAAAACGTAAAAGCACAGTTTTTCTTTCACTTAACAAGAGACCATTGTCTGAAAACCACTTTTGGGTTCTTTTTATTTCATCAGATGCTTTTTAACTGTGGCTTCAATAGTTTCCTGAGTGTTCAACAAAGATGTGTCATCAGCATACATAACGAACTGATCACTATAAAAATCATTTACCTAATATAGTGGACCTAATATAGATCCCTAAGGAACCCCAAGGGAACAATTTTTAGGTACTGATTCATTTCTGTTAACCTCTACATAGTAGTATCTACCCTCTTAGTAACTTTCAAACCATTTGTGGGTTATTCCCCCGATTCCATTCATTTAAAGCTTTGTTAGGAGAATTTTGTTATCTACCAGATCAAATACCTTTCTTAAGTCTATGAAAATTCCTAGCGTCTTTTTATCTTTATCCAACTCCCTGTACACGCACATGGCATCCGCGTACCTTCTTTGTGGACGAACGTTACCGGCACGTCCGTCCACTACCACGAAACTTTAAAGTAAAGGTTAACACTAATAAAGAGTACATCACATGACGCGTGGTTGAATTCGCAAAATTGCGCGATACGTCTTTTATACTGGCCTGGATAGTTTGAAGTGGGAGATCGAATAAATAATTTTCACGCATAAACTTTTGGCACTATCATTATATAGAAAGTAAAAAATTTCTGAAGAAAAAATAAAATGAATCAATTTAAATTTTTTACTCAAATGTAGCTAATAATAATAAAATGATCATAACAGGTCTTTTCCAACATAATATGATATTATGGATATTTTCACAATAAATTGTTTTTAAGAAACTACACAGTGAACTCGCCAACTAAATCAGTTGTACTGGTACATTGAACTATTCTACAATGTATATTATATAACAGTAGATGATAACAAAACTTAATTAGATAAATGATTATATCTTGTTAAACAGGTAGATTTTTTTAAATATCTAGTATATAATATAATATTGATTCTAGGAAAACTTGATTGAATAAATGAATAATTCAGGAAACACATTTATTTAGTATGTATATACATACATACATACGTTTATATTGGCAGAAAACCTGGGGATAATAGGATAATAAACATAAACATAAGGTTTTCTGCCAATATAAACGTTGTCATGTATTTTCAAACCAACACACAAACTGAATGAAAAAGAGCATTTTTGTTACTAAAAGGGTTTTTCGCCAGTATGAAGTTTTTCATGTTTTTTCAAATATCTACTTCCAATGAATGATTTGGGGCAGATTTCACACTTAAACAGTTTTTCGCCACTATGAATTTTTACATGTACTTTCAAATCACAATTTCGTCTGAATAATTTGGAGCAGACTTTACACTGAAATGATTTTTCACCAGTATGAATTTTTTCATGTAATTTCAAATCACCATTTAGCCTGAATGATTTGGAGCAGATTTTACACTGAAATGATTTCTCACCAGTATGAATTGTATCATGTGCTTTCAAATTACTACGGAGATTGAATGATTTGGAGCAGATTTTACACTGAAAAGGTTTCTCGCCAATATGAATTTTTCCATGTCTTTTTAAATCACATCCATGAATGAATGATCTAGAGCAGATTTTACAGTGAAACGGTTTTTCGCCAGTATGAATTTTTTCATGTTTTTTCAAATGATCACACCGAAAGAATGATTTGGAGCAGATTTTACACTGAAACGGTTTTTCACCAGTATGAATTTTTTCATGTACTTTCAAATGACCACTTTGATTGAATAATTTGGAGCAGATTTTACACTGAAACTGTTTTTCACCAGTATGAATTCTTTCATGTGTTTTCAAATGACTACATTCACGGAACGATTTAAAACAGATTTTACACTGAAACGGTTTTTCACCAGTATGAATTTTTTCATGTACTTTCAAATTACAACTTTGATTGAATAATTTGGAGCAGATTTTACACTGAAACGGTTTTTCACCAGTATGAATTCTTTCATGTGTTTTCAAATGACCACATTCACGGAACGATTTAGAACAGATTTTACACTGAAACGGTTTTTCACCAGTATGCATTTTTTCATGTACTTTCAAATGACCACTTTGATTAAATAATTTCGAGCAGATTTTACACTGAAACGGTTTTTCACCAGTATGAATTTTTTCATGTACTTTCAAATCAACATTTCGCCTGAATGATTTGGAGCAGATTTTACACTGAAATGATTTTTCACCAGTATGAATTCTTTCATGTGCTTTCAAATTAGTACGGAGATTGAATGATTTGAAGCAGATTTTACACTGAAATGGTTTTTCACCAGTATGATTTTTTTCATGTACTTTACAATGACCACTATGACTGAACAATTTGGAGCAGATTTTACACTGAAATGATTTTTTACCAGTATGAATTGTTTCATGTGCTTTCAAATGACCACTTTGACTGAATAATTTGGAGCAGACTTTACACTGAAATGATTTTTCACCAGTATGAATTTTTTCATGTACTTTCAAAATATTTTCATTGATAATCTCCTCTTCCATATCAACAATTGTTTCTTCTTGGGTTTCAAATAGAGAAATCCCAGGATCTGTAAAAAATAGTTTTATGAAGAGAGAATAATAGCAACTTATTTCAGTACATAATTACATTTATGATAGTTCATGAGAACTGTATCATTTTCAAATCAAAATATTTTCAAAAAAAATGGACTTTTCAGTTGAAATGCCTCAGAATTCAATATTAACAAGGATTTTCACCAGTATCAATAATAAGCCACTTCCCAAACCTTTCATATATGACATCCCTTTGAGTACACAAAAAAAGAATAAACTATACCTCTGAACCTCATCAATTTGTTTATCCAAAAATCTATTGAAAACATTTTTCACAGAACAGAACAAAAATTGTCTCTCGAAGAAAGTGTTTCTAACCAATTTAGTATCATCAAGAGACGACTTAATACTGTGGTCAACTGATGATGTTAATATTATCCATGATAATAATTACACAATCTTCACACAAGAAGTTAAATCAGTAATGTATATAAGAAGAATAATCAAGAGACGACTTAATACTGTGGTCAACTGATGATGTTAATATTATCCATGATAATAATTACACAATCTTTACAAACATTCATACCAACATCAACTATAGCTCAAGAAAAATATCGGGTGCACTACCATTGCACCAATTCACCGGTATATATAGTTTCAATTATTACATTTCCAACTGAATGAGTATGTTCCTAGAATGTGAAAATATTAGTTAATATATGAAAAGACACTAGAATTTAAATCAGTAATGTATATAAGAAGCATATACTAGCTAGAATTCAGTTCGTATTAAACACCTTCAGTGAAACATGTAACTCGGTTTCGTAGATTGTTCTGTGAAAATCTCACAATAAGGTGTTACTTCAATCATCTCAGTCATTGTAGCGCAGTTCTACAGATATAATTTTTTACTAAGATTTGGAACAAAATTTTGTTGAAAACATATGTTTTTGGCACCCATTGACATTTCGGGTTCTTTCTTCTCAAACCTTTAGTAAAATATATGTTACCTGAAATAAGTTGTTTCAAATCCAGAGTCATATCTTCGCCTTGCATAGCATTTGGCCCATTCTGGCATTGGCAATTATAACAGAATTTTGAATGATCAGGGCTGAAGAAATCAGTTGGACTAAGCAAACATCCTCCACACGCCTCACAATGTGAGGCTTCTTTTACTTCTTCCAAGTACCTTTCAGATTTCAAATCATGATCAACAATATCAATGAGATCTTCACTTTCGACTTGTTTTGGCTTTAATTCATATTTTGTGATAATCCTTTGGACTGCATTACATTCCTCCTCCTCTCCCTCCTCTTTAATTAGTCTTCCATAATCATCACTAGTCATTATCTAGTTCAATTTTCAAAATATATGTAGGAGCAACGTGGATTTGTTTGTCACCTTTTATCTTTGAGTCACTTTACTCACTATCTGAATAATTAATCTGAATTTTGATTAATACTAGTATGGTAAAGGTAAACACTAATGAAAATGAAGATTAGACCAGAGAACGAAAACACATATACCATATACGTGCTTCGTGAAGTAGACAATAGTAGACATGGCGGCACAAACCACTACTTAATTTGTGCATGCAGTTTTGCCAACTGGATGAACTATAAAGTCGCTACACATGAAACAAAACGCTACACTGCTTCATATTCCGCTACGCTTGTATATATGTGTCACAATCAGTTCGTGCATACGCCCTATCCAAAATTAAACACCACAAAACGTACAGTTTGTAGTTTGTGTACCGTTCAGATATCACAAAACTGAACTGTCACTAATGTCAGGAATCAGGATCATGATAATTTTCAGCCGCGCAACTCAGTAGATGGTACCTAATTTTCTAAATTTACAGCAGTTAATTTTTGAAAGCTGTCGTCTAAACCAAATATTTCTTAGCTTGAAATAATGATTTTGAAAAGTAAAAATAAATATCAATTTGTTCTCGTACGTATAGTCACACTGAGCTCTTGAACGATCATTCGCGACAGGTCTAATCGATCCTTTCAAGTTGAAATCAGACAACTAATGTAGAGAAAAAGTTTATTTTCGATACTTTTTGTATTTTTTTAAAAATGCTCCGTTTCCGTCAATTGCAACTGCGGTAGCTCTTTTGCTCCAACTACAATCCACTGTAATTTGTTTCATATAATTTATAATAGTCGAGACTTTTAGTTTCAAGATAATGGAGGTTAAAAGGTTTATGAAATGAATGAAAATATCCAAAAATATTCTTCTCTTTCATCGGGAAATGGCATCAGCTACCCAGACTATCCACTGCCTCTTCTTCCATATTTTTTCACTATTGATTATATAAAGAAAATTCCGCTACTTTATGTTTAAATCCGCTACGCCGCTACCGTCTAGTGAATTCCGCTACAGTAGCGGAATTCTGCTAGAAAAAAAGACCTACGTGAAATTGGATGTCAAGACCCATCTGCTAAATTTTCCGACCTCTGCCAAACGACCAGTGGCGTATATCCTCACTACTTGCGGAATGAATATTGTCGTATAGGAATATATGAAAACTCGTAATTGATATTTGTTGCAGAAAATCGACTTATACAGTAATTGAAATACAAAATTGCTTTATAATGCATGAAATGGTGTAAAAACTTGTTATTTGATTTAAAACTATAATCCCTATTTTGTTTGTCTCTGATAATTTGCATCCCTAGAAATTCTTTGGCCTCACCCAAATCTTTCAATGTGAATTTAGTATTCAGTGTAGTTTTAAACAAGTCAGTTTCACCAGGGTTATTTGAAAAAACAAAAAATCATCAACATAAAGAGCATTAATAGGCGAACTATTTTCTGTTTTTAATGTAGATACAATGCTCCACCTCAGATCTTTTAAAATTGACTTCCTTGATAACCTTTTCCACACTTTCATGCCACACAATTAGAAATTTGATAACCTGGTTGATGCATATGTAAGTCTTCAGCTAAAATACCATTTAAAAAAAGCTGTCATAATATCTTATGAGTAATTTCTAAATCCAGTTGTACTGATAAAGTAATCAAAATTCTTAAAATACTAGGCCTTCCTAGTATAACCTTAGACAATTATCTAAGAGTAGAATGAAACATGCATATGCAACTAATTATGCACGTTTACGCAAATAGACCATCCCGGTACCGGAACTTAGGCTACTCTCTACTAGATGCCGCTTCACGCCCGATTTGAACTTTTTCAAATCTGAAATATAAAGAGGTTTTATCCTGCAACATTTTTCACATTTTGTTAGTTTTTATTAACTTAATCGTTCTTCGCTAAAACTGCGTATGTATTGAATCGACATGATCATCTAAACTTGGCAGAACCCTGCAACTAATAGCAAAAATTCAGTTTTGGAACGAATCGGAATTAATAGTTGGTCTTCCTATTTTTAGGTAAGTGAGACTTATGTATACAAGAATATTGCTTTTGTTATACCTGAAGCTTCCAACTTTTCTTTTCGTTTAAATAAAAAACTGTACATTCTCCTATTCTTTTATTGTAAAAAAACTTGCTTACATCGTTTTCGTATTTTAAATGTTCAGTCTAACAATAAAAACAACCACTCGAGTTACCAGGAGCATCCATCTTTTTTATATGCATACCAGCGCATACCCACATTCAAGTAATAAAAAATCGATGCCCCTGAGAATTGCAAAAAAAGTTTCACCGCACTATTGGAGGAAAAGTCTCGCAATAATCTATGTCAAATTTCTGAGTATAACCCTTGGCTACAAGTCCTATCATACTCACGTTGCCAATATTGAACGTGTTCAGAGAAGTTCTTTGAAAACCCTAAAACAACAATTCAAAACATCCTGAACTCTATGCCTCTGAACTCACGAAAAAATATTCTCAACATTATATTTCTCTATGACTTATTTAAAGAAAAAGTTATATGTAAGGATTCGTTGTCTCAAATTAGTTTTTCTGTTCTTCATTTTAATTCTGCATACGGCACGTTTTATTGTGGTCAATATAGAACAAATGTCCGACGCAGGTCATCCGTAATAGTAATGTGTTAAAATTTTAATGAAATATGCTGCGACTGTGTTGAGTGAATGACTTTTGAGCAGTATGAATCAAGTTACATCTCTCAATGAATGACTTTGATTTTTTTCATGCCTTTTCCAATTATTTTTTTGAATAAAAGACTTGGAGCAGAGTGTACACTGAAACGGTTTTTCACCAGTATGAATTTTTTCATGTATTTTCAAAGTACCACTTCGACTGAATGATTTGGAGCAGATTTTACATTGGAATGATTTTTCTCTAGTATGAGTTTTTTCATGTCCTTTCCGAGAGAATGATTTAGAGCAGATTTTACACTGAAACGGTTTTTCGCCAGTATGAATCATTTCATGTTTTTTCAAAACACTATTTCTAATGAATGATTTAAAGCAGATTTTACACTGAAGCGGCTTTTTGCCAGTATGAATTTTTTCATGTCTTTTCAACATATTTTCATTGATAATCTCCTCTTTCTTATCAACAATCATTTCTTCTTGGGTTTTAAATAGAGGGATTCCAGGATCTGTAAAAAATAAGCTTTATGAAGAGAGGATAATAGCAACTTTCATAATAAGCCGCTTCTCAAACCTTTCATATATGAGTACACAAAACCAGAATAAACTATATCTTTTAAAAATGTTTATCCAACAATTTATTATTTTTAAAAAACCATCAAAGAGGAAGATTATATCTTCCTCTTTGATGGTGATTCAATCTTCCTCTTTGAAGATGATCACTTGGTGACCGAAGCACGTGTCGAGGTGTTGAAAATAACGATTTGGTGTTGGGAAAAAACTACAGTAATTTTCATTACTACGCCAAAGGTTTCAAACAGAGCATCATAAATATTATGCATGATAATAATTACACAATCTTCACAAACATTCATGCCAACTTAAAGTTTAGCTTGAGAAAAATATCTGTTCGAAGTTAGGAGCGAACTCAAGATTTTTTAATTGTGAATCGGGTACACTACCATTGCGCCAACTCACTCAATTATTACTTTTCCAATTAAATGAGTCTGTTCCTAGAATGTGAAAAGATACTAAAAGTCATTGTAGTGCAGTTCTATAGATATGATTTTCTACTAGGATTTAGAACAAAATTTTGTTGAAAACATTGTTTTTTGTCACCCATTAACCTTTTTGGGTTCTTTCTTCTCAAACCTTTAGTAAAATAAATGTTACCTGAAGTAAGTTGTTTCAAATCCAGAGCCATATATTCGCCTTGCATAGAATTAGACCCATTGTGGCATAGACAGTTACTACAGAATTTCGAATGATCAGTTGGACTAAGCAAACCTCCTCCACACACCTCACAATGTGAGGCTTCTTTTACTTCTTCTGTATACTCTTCACATTTCAAATCATGATCAACAATATCAATGACATCTTCACTTTTAACTTGTTTTGGCTCTAATTCATATTGTGTGATAATCCTTTGGACTGCATTACATTCCTCCTTCTCCTCTTTAATTGGTCTTCCACAATATTCAGTGGCCATTATCAAGCTCAATTTTCAACGTAGGGACAACGTGGATTTGTTTGTCACTTTTTATCTTTGGGTCACTTTACTCACAATCTGAATAATTAATCTGAAATGTGATTAATACCAGTATGGTAAAGGTAAACACAGTAAACACTAATGAAAATGAAGAGTATACCAATCAGAGAACACCTATATAAGTGCTTTATAGAGTAGACATGGCGGCACGTAGCTAGAAGAGAGATGTAATTTTTTTGTTCTCTCTCTCTCTCTACTCTTGTCTAACAATCGCTTCCTTCTCAGGTGCATTGGATCACCACTCATTCTGTTTCACAACTCGATACATAATTTGGCGATACCGTCTATCGCAAAATACTGTCGAGTAACATCTTTTAACAGCGCGATGGTAGGGACAATTGTACTGATAAAGATCAAAATTCTTAAAATACTATGCCTTACTAGTATAACGAAACATGCATATGCAACTGATTATACATGTTTACGCAAATAGACTTCTTACTGTACTATAAGACCATCTCTGAACCTAGGCTACTCTCTACTAGATGCCGCCTCACGCCCGATTTCATCTTTCTTAAATTTAAAATATAAAAAGGTTCTTTCCTGCAACATTTTGTTAGTTTTTATTAACTTAATCGTTCTTCGCTAAAACTTCGTATTTATTGAATCGACGCGATCGTCTACACTTGGCAGAACCGTGCAATTAATATCCAAAATTCATTTTTGAAACGAATCAGAATTAATGGTTGGTCTTCCTATTTCTGGGTAAGTAAGACCTATGTATTCAAGAATATTGCTTTTGTTGTACCTGAAGCTTCCACTTTTTTTTTCGTTTAAATAAAAAACTGTACATTCTCCTACTCTTTTATTGTAAAAAAACTTGCTTTCATCGTTTTCCTATTTTTAGTGTTCAGTCTATCAATGAGTATAACCCTTGGCTACAAGTCCTATCATACTCATATTGCCAATATTGAACGTGTTCAGAGAAGTTCTTTGAAAACCCTAAAACAACAATTCAAAACATCCTGAACTCTATGTCTCTGAACTCACGTAAAAAATTTTCAACATTATATTTCTGTGTGACTTATTTAAAGAAAAAGTTATATGTAAGGATTTATTGTCTCAAATTAGTTTTTCTGTTCTTCATTTTAATTCTGTATACTGCACAACCTGTAATTGTGGTCAATATAGAACAAATGTCCGACGAAGGTTATTAGTAATAGTAATGTGTTAAAATTTTAATTAAATATGCTGCGACTGTGACATTTTTTGTTCAAAAAAATATATTTACATCAATTTTACCACAAAACCTATAAGTAGAGTCTAATTTCTAATTCCGATGTAGAATTTTGAGAATATAATGTCTCTCACAAAGGTTACATAAACAGGATACAGTGTTCATTTTTTTACGTATCTTGCACTGATTTTTCTAAACTGCTATTTTCCATATTTATCATCCGATAAACTAGTAATCAATTAAGGAAATAAATATGTTGAAATTAAATCACGAAACATTCAATTTTCCCAAAGTAGCTACACTGTGAATTCCGGTAAATAGCTGCAGGAAAACAACTGCTTCCCCGGCTAATACCACGCTGGACATTGAATTATATCCGACAGACATGTTTTTCATTTCTCAATAACCCACTTAGAGTGAATGACTTTTGAGCAGTATGAATCAAGTTAAATCTCTCAATGACTATGAATTTTTTCATGCTTTTTCCAATTATTTTTTTGAATAAAAGATTTGGAGCAGATTTTACACTGGAACGGTTTTTCGCCAGTATGTATTTTTTCATGTCTTTTCAAAGTACCACATTGATTGAATGATTTGGAGCAGATTTTACACTGGAATGATTTTTCGCCAGTATGAATATTTTCATGTTTTTTCAAATTACCACAGTCACTAAATGATTTAGAGCAGAAGTTACATTGAAATGGTTTTTCACCAGTATGAATTGTTTCATGTACTTTCAAATGACCTCGTAGAGGGAATGATTTAGAGCAGAAGTTACACTGAAATGGTTTATCACCAGTATGAATTGTTTCATGTACTTTCAAATTACCACATTGACTGAATGATTTAGAGCAGAAGTTACATTGAAATGGTTTTTCACCAGTATGAATTTTTTCGTGCAATTTCAAACTTTTATTTTGAGTAAAAGATTTGGAGCAAAGTCTACAATGAAATCGCTTTTCACCAGTATGAATTATTTCATGGCATTTCAAAATACTTTTTAGATAAAAAGATTTGGAGCAGATCTTACACTGAAACGGTTTTTCACCACTATGACTTCTTTCATGTCTTCTCAAATCAACACAACGAATGAATGATTTAGAGCAGATTTCACACTTAAACAGTTTTTCGCCAGTATGAATTTTTTCATGGTTTTTCAAATCACATTTATAATTGAATGATTTAGAGCAGAATTTACACTGAAACGGTTTTTCGCCAGTATGAATTTTTTCATGTTTTTTTAAATCACCTTCATGAATGAATGACTTGGAGCAGATTTCACACAGAAATTGTTTTTCACCAGTATGAATTTTTTCATGCCGTTTCAAAGTATCTTTTCGAATAAAAGATCTGGAGCAGATTTTACACTGAAACGGTTTTTCCCCTGTATGAATTCTTTCATGTGTTTTCAAATCAGTTTTGCGAATGAATGATTTAGAGCAGATTTTACAGTGAAATGGTTTTACACCAGTATGAATTTCTTCATGTCTATTCAAATCTTTTTTGCGAAAGAATGATTTAGAGCAGATTTTACACTGAAATGGTTTCAAACCAGTATGATTGTTTTCATGTAATTTCAAACAAGTCTTTTGAATAAAAGATTTGGAGCAGAGTCTACATTGAAATTGCTTATCACCAATATGAAATTTTTCATGTATTTTCAAAGTACCACGTAGACTGAATGATTTAGAGCAGATTTTACACTGAAACGGTTTTTCACCAGTATGAATTTTTTCATGCAATTTCAAACTATACTTTTGAATATAAGATTTGGAGCAGAGTGTACACTGAAACGGTTTTTCACCAGTATGAATTTTTTCGTGTATTTTCAAAGTACCACTTCGACTGAATAATTTAGAGCAGATTTTACACTGAAATGATTTTTCACCAGTATGAGTTTTTTCATGTCTTTTCAAAATATTTTCATTGATAACCTCCTCTTCCTTATCAACAATTGTTTCTTCTTGGGTTTTAAATAGAGGGTTTCCAGGATCTGTAAAAATAGTTTTATGAAGAGAGGATAATAGAAATTTATTTCAGTACATAGTTACACATAGATCACAAGAAACGTAACATTTGCAAATTAAAATATTTTTAAAAAATTGGATTTTTCAGTTGAAATGCCTTAGAATTCAACATTAACAAAGATTTTAATCAGTATCAACACTGAGTACACAAAACAGAATGAACTATATCTCTAAATCTCATCAAAATGTTTATCCAATGACCTATTGAAAACATTTTTCACATACAAGAACAAAAATAGTCTCTCAATGAATGTTTTGCTAACCAAATCAACATCATCAGGAGATAACTCAGACTGTCATCAACTGATGATGTTAATACTATACATGATAAAAATTACACAATTTTCACAAAAATACATGCCAACTTCAACTTTATCTCGAGAAAAATATCTGGCAGAGATTGTGAGCGAACTAAATTGTGAATTCGGTACACTACCATTACGCCAATTCACCACTATATATAGTTTCAATTAATTGAATGAGTCTGTTCGTAGGATGTGAAAACATTAGTTAACATATGAAAAGACACTAGAATTTAAATCAGTAATGTAAGAAGCATATATTAGGTAGAATTCAGTTCGTATTAAACACTTTCAGTGAAACATGTTACGCGGTTTCGTAAACTGTTCTTTAGAAATGTGTTACTTGAATAATCTCAGTCATTGTAGACAGTTCTACAGGTATAATTTTTTATTTGGATTCAGAACAAAATTTTGTTGAAAATATGTTTTTTGTCACCGATTGACATTTTAGGTTCTTTCTTATCAAACCTTTGGTAAAATAAATGTTACCTGAAGTAAGTTGTTTCAAATCCAGAGCCTTATCTTCGCCTTGCATAGAATTAGACCCATTCTGGCATTGGCAGTTATAACAGAATTTTGAATGATCAGGGCTGAAGAAATCGGTTGGACTAAGCAAACCACCACATACCTCACAATCTGAGGGTACTTTTACATCTTCAGAGTACTTTTCAAATTTCAAATCATGATCAACAACATCAATGAGATCTTCACTTCCGACTTGGTTTGGCTCTAATTCATATTTTGTGATAATCATTTGTACTGCATTATATTCCTCCTCCTCCTCTTCCTCTTTAATTAGTCTTCCACAATTATCAGTACTCATTATCTAGTTTAATTTTCAAGATGGCGAGACAACGTGGATTTGTTTGTCAGTTTTTATCTTTGGGTCACGTCTTACTCACAATCTGAATAGTTAATTTTAATTATGATTTATAATAGTATGATACAGTTAAACACGGTAAACACTAATGAAAATGAAGAGAAGACCAGAGAACACCAATTTACGTGCTTTGTGGAGTAGTAGGTAGACACGTAGCTAGAAAAATAGATGTATTTTTTTCTTTCTCTCTCTACTCTTGTCTAACATCTAACATCGCCTCCTTCTTCCGTCTCTGGTGCCTTCGACCTCCACTCATTCTATTTCATAACTCTTTTTCTCATGCGCATGTCGGTTCTGGTTTTTTTATAGAAATACAGATATTTCCAGAATAGAGATGGGAAATACCGCTCTCTTATTGGAACGTACAAGTTTTGACGCGACTGGAAAATACCCCGTTAAATACTCCACAACAAAACTGCACGAAAAGGAATGACCATATTACGTGATATGTAACGTCAGCGTATCGCCGTAGCTTTGCAACATTTGCTTTTCAGTTATTTCGTAGAATTTTTATTTCATTTCGAGTAATCTTATTTACCTATTTATTTCTTCTTTGTGTTTGATCTCATTTTAATTTTATGAAGCAAAATTTTCATTTCATACATCTCATTCCCCTGATCATTCGAATAAATTTCAATCCAAAGAAGTTTTTGTATTTTTATATTATTGTGTGTAATACATATGCTAAAAAGTTCCATAAAAAGTTGCGGATGATATATCGCGATCGCGTTCCATTGTTACCCACAGCAAAGCACCGCGGCAGAGATTTGGTGATTCAATAGGAACGAAAGACGAAAACTAGTGCAAGCGACCATACATTCATGACACCCGCTACAGAATACTAAGGCGAAGAAGCGACACCGATACATTACTCGGCAATACCGTCTATTGCAAAATATCGTCGTGTAACATCCTTGAATACCTCGATGGTACAATATCATAATACCGCGCCCCAAAATACTGTTATTCCAATTCCAACCTATCTCTACTCCAGAAATACTGTACGGGAATAAAACAACACGCTTGTTTGCTGTTTGATTGCGACTTTAATTCAGAAAAAAGAACATTGTTGCCAATATAACAATTCAATACTGCCAATGGCATAAATGATCAAAGTTTGATGTCAGAAACCAACACCCCCTATTATATCAAACCCTACTTTTACCTAAACCAACAACTTTCGGTTGGTAAATAAGTCAATTTGAAATTTTCATTTGATATGGCTCTTATAAAATGATGACGTATATCTATATGCTTCGAGCGTTTGTGATATAATGACAGCAAGTTTTCGTGCACTCAAGTTGTCATTAAATAATACTATACAATCTGACTTGCCTGTTAATTCAAACCAAAAATTCATGAGGTATATTGCTTCGGAGACTTGCCATATACTCAGCCAATATTGAACATGTTCAGAGTTCTTTAAAGTCCCTATGACTTATTTACAGAAAAAGTATGTAACGATTTATTGTCTGAAATTAGTTTTTCTGTTCTCCATTTTAATTCTGTGTACCGTTTAAATAAAGATATATACAGGATATATCCCTAAAAACAGAACACGTCCATTTTACCACAAACTCAGTGTAATTTCTAATTCCAATATGTAATTTCAAGAATATAATGTCAATCACAAAGATTACATAAATAGGCTTCAGTATTGCCGGAAAACAACTACTTTCCTGGCTAATACCAAGCTGGAAATTGAATTATATCCGACAGACATGTTTTTCATTTCTCAATAACCTACCTACTTTGGGTGAATGACTTTTTAGCAGTATGAATCGAGTTACATCTCTCAATGAATGACTTCATGAGTTTTTTCATGCATTTTCAAATTATTTTTTTGAATAAAAGACCTGGAGCAGATTTTACACTGGAACGGCTTTTCGCCAGTATGAATCTTTTCATGTGTTTTCAAATTACTACTGTGATTGAACGATTTGAAGCAGATGTTACACTGAAACCGTTTTTCGCCAGTATGAATTCTTTCATGTCCTTTCAAATTACTAAAATGGATGAACGATTTAGAGCAGATTTTACACTGAAACGGTTTTTCGCCAGTATGAATTTTTTCATGTGTTTTCAAATTATTTATGCAAAAAAATGATTTGGAGCAGATGTTACATTGAAAGGATTTTACACCAGTATGAATTTTTTCATGTCTTTTCAAATTACCACAGTGAATGAATGATTTGGAGCAGACGTTACACTGGAATGGTTTTTCACCAGTATGAATTTTCTCATGCAACGTCAAAATATTTTTTTGAATGAAAGATTTGGAGCAGATTTTACACTGAAACGGTTTTTCGCCTGTATGAATGTTTTCATGTTTTTCCAAATATTTTTTGGAAGAGAATGATTTGTAGCAGATAGTACACTGAAATGGTTTTACTCCAGTATGAATTTTTTCATGTTTTTTCAAATTACCACAATGACTGAATGATTTGGAGCAGATGTTACAACGAAATGGTTTTTCGCCAGTATGAATTCTTTCATGTCCTTTCAAATCACTACAACGAATGAATGATTTAGAGCAGATTTTACACTGAAACGGCTTTTCGCCAGTATGAATTCTTTCATGTCCTTTCAAATCAATACAACGAATAAATGATTTAGAGCAGATTTTACACTGGAACGGTTTTTCGCCTGTATGAATTTTTTCATGATTTTTCAATTCACTTCTTACAACGAATGATTCACAGCAGATTTTACACTTAATCGGTTTTTCGCCAATGTGAATTTTTTCATGTCTTTTCAAATTATCGCACCGAGAGAATGATTTAGAGCAGATTTTACACTGAAACGGTTTTTCATCTGGTGGTCGAGAAGGACTACATCAGGCTTATTAGCTTATATGAGCCTGAGGGTGGGGAACGAATAGCTCCAATAAATTCGGCACTTCTCGTTCCCCACAAAGGATTCAATATCTACCGGAGCGTAGGACAATACCGGTGTCTCGTCAATACCGTAAGAGTCCCGTAGATGGTAATATAGCACTCTTAGGGCCGCGTTATGTCGATGGATATAGGCCGATTATTAATACAATTTATTATTATAATTGACTCACCACTGATTTCACTAATAAAGTCACTAACAAAGCCTGGACGTTGATCTCCTTCAAACCATTTGGAGACAAATGAATTTTCTCGTTGAATCCAACAATATTCCAATGGATTCAACTTTGTAGGTTGCTTTTTGAAGTTATTTCTTCAAATACAAGAAGTGTAATGAGCCCTCAAAAATTGTCGATAAAACTCAGACTTGTTCGGTAGTATTGAAGTTGCATCAAAAGTATACACTTTTTTGCTGAAACTTTCATTCAGCAGCCTTGTAGCTGTTGATAAATATCTGATATCGTCCATCATCCACTGTCTTCACATTTTTTGGCATTATTCATCTGGCAAGTGAACCCTTCATTAATACTAAACAATAGATGTAACTCATGCCAAACTGCTACTTCCAATGAATGATTTAGAGCAGATTTTACACTGAAAAGGTTTTTCGCCAGTATGAATTTTTTCATGTCTTTTTAAATAACCACAGTGATTGAATGATTTAGAACAGATTTTACACTGAAACGGTTTTTCGCCTGTATGAATTTTTTCATGTCTTTTCAAATCGCTACTTCCAATGAATGATTTGGGGCAGATGTTACACTGAAAAGGTTTGTCGCCAGTATGAATTTTTTCATGTGTTTTCAAGTTTCCACAGTGATTGAATGATTTGGAGCAGAATTTACACTGAAACGGCTTTTCTCCTGTATGAATTGTTTCGTGTCTTTTCAAACTGCTACTTCCAATGAATGATTTAGAGCAGATGTTACACTGAAACGGTTTTTCGCCAGTATGAATTTTTTCATGCAATTTCAAATTATATTTTTGAATAAAAGATTTGGAGCAGATTTTACACTGAAAAGGTTTCTCGCCAGTATGAATGTTTTCATGTTTTTTCAAATCACCTCCATGAATGAATGATCTAGAGCAGATTTTACAGTGAAACGGTTTTTCGCCAGTATGAAGTTTTTCATGTCTTTTCAAATGACTGCATTGACGGAATAATTTTGAGCAGATTTTACACTGAAACGGTTTTTCACCAGTATGAATTTTTTCGTGAGTTTTCAAATAATCACACCGAAAGAATGATTTGGAGCAGATTTTACACTGAAACAGTTTTTCCTCAGTATGAATTTGTTCATGGTTTTTTAAATCATTAGGCCTATTATATGATCTAGAGCAGATTTTACATTGAAATGATTTTTCGCCTGTATTATTATTTTCATGCAATTTCAAGCTACTTTCGCAAATGTTATGATGAAGTGGCATCTTCCCTGTATACGTATTTTCAACAGATTCCACATCAGTTCTTTCATTCAAATTATTTGACCAGTCTTTGTTTTCTTCATGAATTCTACTCTCTCTGCTTGAATTCGAATAATGTCCAGAACTAAGTATTTCAGTAATTTCCTCCGTTTCACATGATATTTTGTGTTGAACAAAATGAACACTTTCATTTGACATATTTTCATTAATTATCTCCTCTTCCTTTCCAAAAATTGTTTCTTCTTGGGTTCTAAAACGAGAGCTTCCAAGATCTGTAAAAAATAATTTTATGAAGAGATAATAGCAACTTATTTCAGTACATAGACACATAATTGATAGGTCACAAGAAACGTGTAATTTTTAAATCAAAATGTTCATGAAAAATATGATTTTTCAGTTGAAATGCCTAAGAATTCAACATTAACAAGGATTTTCACCAGTATCGATAATAACATCTACATGTTTATTCAACAATCTATCGAACTGTCACCTGATGATGTCAACTTGGCAAGAAGATAATCCTCAAACCATTCTGATAGATTTCGAACAGGTTTAAATTTTGGATGGAACAAAAAACTGATAGTTTACTAATGGTTGGAAACTCACGTTGGAACGCAATCAGATTACTGCGCAGAACCCTGACTGTCAGAAACTGTTTCTGACGCTGGTTGGAATGAACCTATAGTAAATGATGCTGGTATATGAAGTACATCGATACTCTATATAAACAAGGAAAATAAAATAGTGCAACATTACTATTATTACTCAAACTGGTAGTACAATTTGATTTCCAATCTATTATCTCTATTTAAAAACTCTAGAAATCTAACCATAAAAGAAAATCTACCATAGTTTGTTCTGTGAAAACTAATGGAAAATAAATTATTATGCCTTTATTTGAGACAGCAAAGATACGCATGATACAATACCATTTAATATTATATAAAAGAGAGAAATATCACACAATATCCTTCTTTTACTCACTGTAAGCAGCTTTATTCAATGGAGAATACAACTATTCTCATGAGCAGCAATGAGATTTGTGTTAAACCAATAATCACAATATGTCAAGAATTTATTTTGTACTTTCTCGAGTGATAACTTATCAAAGATATAATGTGGTTACCAAATAATTGAATCATATTCAAATTGTGATCTGACCAACCCCTTTACACAACCTAGAGAACTGGAAGTTATTGTTCCTATAGTACGTGAGCATACTTGAAAATTGACTCCAAATCAAATTGTCTAAAAGAACAATTCGTTCAGGCCAGTCTTCCATTACCTATACAGTAGGTTTATGGACTGACACTTATCAGAAAACCACTACTCCCCTGGCTAATACCACGAAGGTCTTCAAGTATATCCACGTACTATAGGAGCATTGTCTTTATACGAGAACTTGGGCCATGTGGATATGCGGTTGGTTAGTAACTCCACAGGCAGAGTGGCGATGATAGATATGTTTGTTATTTGCTACAAACTATTTTGAGAGAAATGACACTAGGAAAGGAATTCGATTTTTAATTATCGAAAATCAACAACTTCTTGTTGATGTAGGACACTACCTTGTACTGACGAGTGGCAAAATAACTCATCTGCAAGTGTGTTCCAGTGTCTGCGAGTGTGTTCCAGCAGTCTTATCGCCAACAGCATATGCAGGAATTACTTCTGTGCAGAATCCAGCACCGCCACCTGTTGGATATAATCCAACGCCCTTAGTGGTATTTGCCAAGGGAGTGAGTGTTTTCTAATAGGTGTTGGTGCAAAATTTTTTGTGTAGGTAAGGAAAGACTGACCCAAACAAATTATTCTGTTAGACAAAACGATTAATTATATATTCACATTAGAGACGATCAATAATTTTATACAGTGCCAGAAACAGTATAATTTTACACAGATGGGATTCCATCCTGACCTAATGATTTTATTCAATATTCATATTTCAATAATCTATCGACGATTTCTATGATGATCATTTTGAAGAATCAATATACTGCTTCTTACCATTGTTTTGGACTTGTGCCGAAGGAAATATAGCCATTTGAAATTGTGGTGTTGTACTTTTTTGGGTTATGAAAACTGAAAAGGATTATTTTACGAATCGTCAACCTTTTGAAGAAAGCTGAGTATAAAAATTTCATTTCTTTCATTTCATTCATTTTTATGGCACCCATCAACATTTTTGGTTCTTTCTTCTCAAACTATTAGTAAAATAAATGTGTTACCTGAAGCAAGTGGTTTCAAATCCATAGTATTAGACCTATTCTGGCATTGGTAACAGAATTTCCAATGATCAGAGCTGAAGAAATCAGTTGGACCAAGTAAACCTCCACATACCTCACAATGTGAGGCTTCTTTCACTTCTTCTAAGTACCTTTCAGATTTCAGATCATGATCAACATCAATGAGATCTTCCCTTTTGACTTGTTTTGGCTCTGATTCATACTTTGAGATGATCATTTGGATTGCATTACATTCCTCCTCCTCTTCCTCCTCTTTAATTAATCTTCCACAATTATCAGTAGTCATTATCTAGTTCAATTTTCAAGAAAGATGGCTGGACAACGTGAATTTGTTACTACTTATCTTTGGATCACTTTCCTCACAATCTGAAGAATTAAATTCGACTGTATCCTTGTGTTAATACGATAAATGAAAAGTAAACACGGTGAACACAATGTACTTTCCAATTAATTCTGAAATGTATTATACAACTCCAAAATGTCTAAAAAACCCATCTCATACGTTACGGGCCGCTTCGCACACGTATCTCGTATCTTATATGAAACAGTGTTACCAAAACGGAATACGGAATCGACAAAATACTCACTAGGAGAGAAATATCCTCACACACTTTACCCACTTCATTCGACAGAATCCTCACGTGGTAACTTTTTTCGAAGATATATTTTATCATCTTCAATATGACAATATCAATAATTTTGATTCCTAGTAAATAAAACAGAAAAAGGACAATTTTCATGAATGCATGAAGCTTACGAAACAACAGATTTTGTTTGCAAACAGTAAAAATAAGTAAAACTCATATTTTCCATATTTAAGATCATGCCAAGTAAAGAACTTAGTCAACAGTGCCTCTTCTGCCGTCGAATTCTGTTTGTTATTAATTGAAAATATTGAAATATCAGAAAACTAAATTAAATTATAATGGATTTTTTCATGTGTTTTCAAATTATTTTTGAAAAAAAACGATTTGGAGCAGAAGCTACATTGAAATGGTTTCACACCATTATGAATTTTTTCATGTTTATTCAAAGTACGACGTTGATTGAATGATTTGGAGCAGATTCTACACTGAAACGGTTTTTCGCCAGTATGAATTTGTTCATGTTTTTTTAAATCACTAGGCCCAGTATATGATCTAGAGCAGATTTTACATTGAAATGATTTTTCGCCTGTAATAATATTTTCATGCAATTTCAAACTACTTTCGCAAATTTTATGATGAAGTGGAATGTTCCCTGTAGGCGTAATTTCAACAGATTTCACATCAGTCCTTTCGTTCAAATTATTTGACCGGTCTTTGGTTTCCTCATGAATTCTACTCTCCCTGATTGAATTCGAATAATGTCCAGAACTAAGTATTTCAGTAATTTCCTTCGTTTCACATGATATTTTGTGTTGAACAAAAGGAATACTTTCATTTAACATATTTTCATTGATTATCTCCTCTTCCTTCCCAACAATTGTTTCTTCTTTAGTTCTAAAAAGATAGCTTCCAAGATCTGTAAAAAATAATTTTATGAAGAAGAATATATTTATTGAAACAGGTAATCCTAATACACAATATATAATACACAATATTATATAAAACATATTACTAACATAGAAATTGAAAATAAAAATTTTTAGTTTCAAAAATAACGACATATGCTATTAAAAGTACATTGCAATATTGGTGCAGCTCCAATACAATGATAAAAAGCAGAAAACAACATACAAATACTATATTTGTTAATATTATCTTACCAAACACTATTCTATCTAGCATTATGGATGGATTTAATTAAATGTTTGTTAAAAATATTTAATGATGGACTAGATTTAATTTCATTTAATAATTTATTGTATGCATCAAACTCTTTGAAAAATAAAGAATTCATGGCACTTCTCCTATTTGTTTTCTTGTGCGCACTTCTGAATTTAAACTAACAAATTCAGAAAAATATGAAGGTGATAAGTTATTCAGAATTTTATATATAAATGTCATAGTTAAGTAATACAACTGTAAAGAAACTGGTAGCCACCGCAAAGTTTGTAACATAATTCAGATTTCAGTGAATCTATTCACTATTAGAACAATTCGCATACTGCGATTTTGAAGTTTTCGTAATTGAGATGTTTGATTTAGATTAAACAAGAAAATAAGAGAAGCACAGTAATCAAAATGTGGTTGGATAATTGCATTGAACACAGTAATTTTAGATTGAGTGGATAAATTACCAGAAATTCTTGCAAAGAAATATAGTTCTTTAGATATTTTTTTACATATATAATCGAGATGATTGCCAAACAGTAATAAATTATCTAACTGAAATCCAAGATATTTGATACATGACACAATTTCAATGTTTTCATTATCGATTTGTATATTCATTTCATTTAAATCATGGTTGTTCCGTTTATTTTTTGTTGTTATAATCATTCCTTTAATTTTCATTTCATTCAGTTTTAATTTATTTGCCAAGAGGTACTCATTTACATCCCTTAATGCGGCATTCATTGTCTCAATAACTTTATCTAAGCTTGTATCGTAGCATGCCAATAGTGTATCATCTGCAAATAAATTTATAAAATCAACATTTATAAACAAGTTTATGTCATTCAAGTATAAGATAAAAAGCAGAGGTCCTGAAACGCTACCCTGAGGCACACCTATATGTATATCCAATTCCTTTGAGATATTATCTTGAACTCTGACTTTTTGCTTTCTATGTGATAAACAGTCAGATAACCATTCGTGAACATCACCATCAATGCCATAACCTCTCAATTTTATTAGAAGAATATTATGATCAATTGTTTCAAACGCCCTCTTCAGATAAAAAAAACAGCTACTACAAATTTATTGTTATCAACTTCTTTTTTGAATTTAGATAAAGTGAATTGTAATGCGGATTCACATGAATACTTTATACGAAATCCAGATTGATTATTTATTAAAATTATATTTTTTTCAACATGATCAAGTACCTGCTTCTAAACAGCTAGTTCAAGAATTTTTTCTATTGGTGGTAATGTATTTAGAGGTCTATATTCGCTAGCCTTGATTGTATTGTTTACCTTTTGAATGGGAACTATAGTACTAACTTTTGAAGGAATTGGAATTTTAGAAGTTTGAAGAGAAGTATTTACAAGGTTTAGAATTATATGTCCACATGTTTCAAAAATGACTTTGAGCATTTTGGAATTTAAGATCTCATGAACATTGTTTTTGTTGTCTATGGAGTTAACAATTAGACGTAATTCATTCATTGTTATTATGTGAAACTTGAAAAAATTAGGATATAGATTATAATTATTGAATTTCCAATCTTTAACATTATCTATACTATCAACAATTTGCTGAATACTAGTAATGAAGTAGTAGTTAAATTCGTTTACTATTTCAGTTTTATTATTAACAATATACATCTGGTTTGTTAAGTTAAATTCTATACAGCTCAAAAGTTTTGTCAAATCATGTTTAATAAGCTTTTTTAATGTTTTCCAGTTGAGAGTTATATTATTATTTTCCGAATCGTCAACTATTCGAAGAAAGCTGAGTATAGAAATTTTATTTTTCATTGATTGTGAATTCCTAAACTGTTCTGTGGAAATTTCACAGTAAAGTGTTAGTTGAATCATCTCAGTCATTGTAGCTTAGTTCCCCAGATATAATTTTTTATGATTTAGAAATTATTGAAATATATTTTTTATGACACCCATCAACATTTTTGGTTCTTTCTTCTCAAACAATCATTAAAATAAATGTATTACCTGAAGCAAATGGTTTCAAATCTACAGTCATATATTCCTCTTGCATAGTATTAGACCCTTTCTGGCATTGGCAACAGAATTTCCAATGATCAGAGCTGAAGAAATCAATTGGACCAAATAAGCCTCCACATACCTCACAATGTGAGGCTTCTTTCACTTCTTCCAGGTACCTTTCAGATTTCAGATCATGATCAACAACATCAATGAGATCTTCCCTTTTGACTTGTTTTGGCTCTGATTCATACTTTGATATAATCATTTGGACTGCTTTACATTCCGCCTCCTCTTCCTCCTCTTTAATTAGTCTTCCACAATTATCAGTAGTCATTATCTACTTCAATTTTCAAGAAAGATGGCAGGACAACGTGGATTTGTTTGTTACTACTTATCTTTGGGTCACTTTCCTCACAATTTGAAGAATTAAATTCAACTGTATCCTTGTGCTAATACGGGTAAATGAAAAGTAAACACGGTAAACACAATATATTTCTCTTCGTATGCTGTGTTATTATACGCCTCTAAAACAGTCTAAGATGTCTAAAAACCAATAGGCACTGCTGCTCCAAGGCAAAAAAAAATTGTATGAAAATGACAGATGAAAATGTATACTTTTCGCTATAATTGTATAGCATCAATGGTCGCCAACACTGTCATCAGAATAATTGACAAATGACAGCTTCCCGCATGATTCAAAGATGGAATAAAGCGATTAGCGCATGAGCAGACACTCCATCGTATGTGAAATCTGAATATTTTGAAGTAGTTATTGCAAATATATTGATTTGATTACTATTTGCATTATTATCAATTGAAAATTCTGCATTCACTGATCTAGCTTTAACTTTTATTATGTATCAAATCAAATGACAACACAAAGTTTACTAAAACAAAAATCAAGAGGGGTGAGGTGAACTACCAACTACCATTCATATATATTTATTTAAAATTCGTCTTTTCTTTTTTCTCACTGTGGATTTATTTTTCTTTCAGCGTCAGCGGTTTTCGATAAATTTGACTAATCTGAAAATTAAGTGCTTTGTGATCGTGATCTATGACTTCTATGAGTTCTATCACAGACAGACACGCTTTTCATAATGAGACTCACATTCCGAATTGCCAATCGTTGCGGAATTCCGCTACTGTGGCGGAATATAGTCAATCTATCATGTCAAATTTGCCATTTAGTCAAAAAAAAAATCTTTCCCACATACATAAAGATGTCACTAAAATGTCACAAAGTTAAACATTACTGAGGTATCTCCAAATGAAATCAGAGATGCCGTAAATAATATGAAGTAAAATCAGTAAAAAATCAAATAATATCTCCTTTATGTAAATTGCTAAATAAAAGTATACAATTAGGTATTTATCCAAATTGCCTTAAAGTTTCCAAAGTTGTGCCTGTGTATAAAAAAGGTGATCCAAATGATATGGCCAATCACAGACCAATTTCAT